GTAAGTTTCTTTTCATGACCTTCTTTCATATGCCCATGCAGGCTAGATCATGAGGAATGATCTAGTGGGGCATGATGATTTCTAAGTAGGTTTGTTAAAGAAGAAAAGGCCTTTTTGAATTTCAAAAGCTTGTAGTGGACTCAAAGTAAGGAAGAAGACAGGTCGCAGCAGAACAAAGCTTCCTTTGTCCACACCACCAAGTCTAGTCCAATTTCCCCAGCTGAAGGGAGATAAAGGGACTATGATGCAGAGAGATGTCCATGGGGCCGGGCTCAGGGTGCTGCACACCTGGAGGAAGTATGCAGACTGAAGTTTTAGTTATAATCCAGAGAACACCCAGACCTCAATAGAGTGGCCATTTACATTGTCAGCCCATGGGAACAACGTGGATACTAAGGTAGAAACTCTAGAACCTCCAGGATCTGCTCAGGTGAGCATGCTTGTCTTCTGTGCCAAGGAATCACATTGATGGTCTTTCACACTAAGCATCTGGTGAGAAGCTCCAGCCACAGGAGCCTACTGCCCACTGAATTTCAGTAAGGAGCGGCCCCAGTGTCCCAAGACTCTTTCCTCATGCCCCATCTTCTGTGAATTAACCTAAGTCAAATTTGCCTATCATGATTCTCAGTCTCTTATGGGAATCAGCAGCTTCCAAGGGTCAGAAGCAAATTAAGGCTCCAGTTCTCCCCAACAACCTCACCAGCAGGTTTTCATGAAAGCAAGTTTCAGGCGGCATGAAAGAAATCACACTGACTGTTCCACAACCTCAGAGAAATCCCAGATCTCTCTTTAGGTGCTGTCACCACACTTCACACCTGGGACAAAGTCAATAATATTTCAGAGGTCAGAGATGTAGCAATTTTGCAGTTGAAATTCGACAACCAAAGAACTTCTAAGCATACATGCACAACCAATGGACACAGACAATAGGTTACGGAAAGCCGGAGGGGGTTGGCAGTGGGGAGGAGGCGGCCAATGGGGAAGAAAAGAAGGTAGCTATAATATTTTCAACGATATAAATAAATAATTTATTAATTGACAACCAGAATCTTTCCAATCAGTACCCAGATGTGGTTTCCGCAGAGACCTCAAATACCATTCTGAAGGAACCAGACTTCCGAGCCAGCTGGATTCTGTCATGTGAAGATAGACTCTTCGTAGTATTTCTAGTCTATTTACGAATCTTGAATACCAGCAATTTCACCAATGAACACCTATTTGTCATCCATTGTGATAATAAAACTTCTATTGATAAAGGGAGGTGAACTACTTGAATTAACAGTCTCTGGGGTGTGACCGGTAGTTCTATATGAACTCACCAAACCTGGGATTCTTTTTGAGATTGAAACAACCATCCATCCTAACAAAGTGTATTAAAGCTATCACATACACATATATATTAAAGTTATCATATACACACATATATATATTAAATGTATATGCTAAAATATTTAAAAGTAAAATATAGACTATGATTCACTATCTGAGGTCTTGTGTGGGTAAGTCCCTTTCAATTGCCCAGGGTACTCAGGAACCCTTCAAGTTGGAGGGTGGGGCATCGGATATCTAGAAAGCTAACGATAGTTGTACTTAGCTAAAATCTTTTCAGACTCTCAACCTCTACACTTGAACTTGTTTGGGATTGAATGGAATCTGCTGAAAATCTCTTCCAAACCAGAGAAGCAGTGTATTTTCTCCAGCTCTTTCTGGCCAGGGGACACACCTGCTTTTGGAACAGAACGTGTTTTGTTAGAATGCCTCTTCACTACAGCTCGCCTATGGACCACGCTGAGTCATGATTCCTTAAGGAATGTCTCTGCCATTGGCACAAACTGTACAGGAAAAAGCTGTTCTGCAGGCAAGACTTGTGGTTTTGTTTTATGAGACAAGTATTATGTTGACAATACAGATCCTGTATTAGGAAATTATACCATTCACACACGAGTATTGTGCAAAGAAATTAAATCACTCACAAGTTATACATCTTCACTAACAGATACCTAATACAATTTCTTAACATGCTAATCCTGAATTTAAACTCAAAGAGTGAACATTCAAAATTACCTATGTTTGGATGGCTTACAAAGAGACAGCTCAAACTTGACATGACCAAGACCAGGTAAAACAACCCTTCTTACGGGCCTCCTCTTAGTAAGTAACAATTACTTTCTTATCATTGCCCAGGCCAAAAGAATATGAACCTACTCTTAATTCTTCATTTCTCTTTGAATCCTACACTCCACAAGCCAACCCCATCAACTCTACCTTTACAAAGGGTAGAGTTGTAAAACTGGGCCTCTTAACACTACTTCCTTCACTACAACCCTAGTATAAACTATCATGATTTATTGTTCAAACAGTTGCACTTGCTTCCTATTTGGTCACCCTGAGTCCTCTCTTGCAAACATATACCATAGTCTCCAAACAGTAATCAGATCCTTCTAAAATATAAGTTAAGAATACAGACTGGTGCAGCTACTTTGGAAAACAGTATGGAGTTTCCTCAAAAAATTAGAAATGGAACTGCCTTTTGACCCAGCAGTCCCACTTCTGGGAATATGTCCAAAGAAACCAAAAAAACTATTTCAAAAGAATATATACATCCCTGTGTTTATTGCAGCATTATTTACAACAGCCAAGATCTGGAAATAGCCCAAGCACCCATCAGTAGATAAGTGGATAAAAAAGCTGTGGTACATTTACACAATGGGATATTATACAGCCATAAAAAAAAGGAAATCTTACCTTTTGTGACAGCATGGGTTAACCTGGAGATTATTTTGCTAAGTGAAATAAGCCAGTCAGAGAAAGACAAATACTACATGGTCTCACTTCCATATGGTATCTAATGAACAAAATAATCTGATGAACAAAATAGAAAGAGAGGCCTAGAGACATGGAACAGACTGACAGCTGTCAGAGGGAAGGCTGTTGGGGGCTGAATGAAAGAAGGTGAGGGATTAACCAAAGAACATATATGCACAACACATAGACACGGATACGTGTGGTGATAGCCAAAGGGAAAGGGGGTGGAGGTAGGTGGAAGGGGACAAAGAGGGGGGGAGATGGGGATGGAAAGAGCAATGTGTTCATGATGCAGTGTGCAGATGATATTTTGTTGAGGTTGTACAGCTGAAACCTGTAAGGTTTTGTGAACAAATGTTACCCCCAATAAATTCAATAAAAATAAATTAATTTAATTAAATTAAAATATAAGTTGAATCACTCAATAACTTCTTTACAGATTCTCTACTGTGTTTCCATCTAACTCTAAGTCCCTACCTACAAGGCCCAGTGTACTGACTCCCAGATATTTCTTTGAATTCATCATCTGTCACTCAAACCATGATTCCCTTTGCTGAGCCTCCAGCATGCTCACCTCCATGCTGGTCCTTGGAAGTTGCACGAATGCAGCTCCTCAGGCCTCTAGCTTATGGTGCCCTCCACCTGGACCCCCCCCCCCCCCCCCGATGCCCACATGGTTCTCTCCCTCGCTTTCTTCGTCTCCACTCCAATGGAACCTTAAAGAGAGACCCGGCCTAATCCACTTTTCTCCAACAGCAAACCCAACCTCACTTTCATACTCTATCCCTTTACTCTCTTTAATTTTTCTTCAAAATACTTATCACCACCTGACTTGTTACATATTTACTTGTTGGTTGTTGGCCCAGCTAGATTTAAAGCTGCAGAAGAACAGGGACTTTGTCTATTTTGTTCACTGCGTGCACCAAGCACCAAGCACCGAGACAACTGCTTGGAACACAGTAGTAACACAACGATCAATATGTTCAATGATGAATGAATGATGATTAACCTTTTATCAAAAAGTTATTCTTGACAGTGCACTCAACACCTGATTGTGTTGTCTGTTCTGACACATTTAAAGAACAAACTGGAATTTTCAAACTACCTGGTAGCAGCTGCTTTTGAATTGCTCAAGGAACGTTCATCTCTCAAAAAAGGCACAGCTGAAGCTGAGCTGTGGCTATTGAGTTGCCCTTGCCTTGCCCAGTAGAGGAGGGAAGGCTAGATGAGAGGCAAACCCACACTTTGCTACAAGTGCTGTTTCCATTTAATTCAAAGTGTTAACTAAAAACAGCTTGTGACCTACTACTCTCTCAGTGATCTATCTAAAATGCCAACTGACCCCAAATCACTTCTAAACTGCATCGGTATCCATTAGTAAAGAGGAGGTGACCAAAAAGGAAACAACACTAAGTGTGTGCTAATGTTGCTTTTTATTTCATGAAACCCAAATGATTGCAAACATCCATTTTAGGAACATTTTATCAAGATATTAAAACAAAAGGCAATGAGAAACGCAAACACACAAATACCTACTCCTACATACACAGATTACTACTCATTGAAGTAATTCTTTGACCAATGAAGATATTAAGAAACCACACCCCCCCAAAAATAAAATATGAAATAAAAGCAAAGAGTACATATCTGATTTTTACTCTTCAAATTTAAATGACACAGGTTAATGATGAAGTACCAACAGGTTATGGAGTGTATTAAGTCTGACACTTGAACACTCTTCAATCATTTGCCTTCCAAATCAGCACTCTAATTAGATTCATCCTTTTACCTAGTTGAACTCTGCAACCATTCCTCTGAATTTTGCTGATTTCTTAGTCAAATGAGATTCTCCTAGAAATCTAGGAACAGGATTAGCAACGGAAATACCATCACCGAATCCTAAGGGAAATGGAGGTGTTTGCATTGAGAGGCCTCTAATTCCCAGATTCTCTGCCCAATAGAAACACTTAATAGTCTGTACTGACATTTTAAAGCTTGAGAAAGGTAATGTATCATTGTGTACTTCATTCTGGTTATTTCCTGCCAGCAGAGAGCACTAAGACATGGGCCCCTCGAGCTGAAAGAGGTACATAGTTAGAGACATATGTATCTAATGTCTATGCCAAACTAATGACACAGTGATTTTCAGAAGTGAATTGGGACTATTGCTTCGATTTCAAGGGCCATGCTACAAAGTGTTTGTCTTGTATTCTTATCTCTAAATAATCTAGTATAGATAATGGTGAATTTCAACGTTTGAGAATAAACATTCAGTCTGCGTAAAAGATACATCTTTATAAAGTTAATATCTTAGATAGCTTCTCTTTCAAAAAATAGCTTTGATGTACTTCTGATGCACCTAAACATTTGCGCTACCACTGCCACAGGCTGTGTTTTCAGACTGGCTCAGGGACCACTGAAATATTAGCTACCCCTTTGCTGGCAAAACATCAGAGTGACTAGTCAGTCGTTACAGTTTCACCGAACCGCTGGCTCCCAGATCTTACCTTGTCTCAGAGTCACGCAGCAGGTTCCTTAAAATGCAGCAAGAAGACTGGGCCCCACTGCCAGAGTTTCTGATTCAGTAGGTATGAGGCGGGGCTAAGAATCCACATTTTAAACAAGTTCTCAGGTGATGCTCATGCTGCTAGTCTAGGGGCCTCACTTTGAGAACCTCTGCTTTAAACTATTAATTTGTATGTTCTTTAAAGAGCAGTGAAAGCTTAGATTCCAGGCACCACATGGTACTAACTAAACTCTCTACAACTCCTTGTCCTGGTGACCATCCTTGAGAAAATCCGTGTTCACTTCCTCTTTTATAGAAACAGTGGTGCCCAGGCAGCTAGAGTCATTAACACTATTCGTTCAGCATCTTGGTTTGGCTGGGCCTGGATGGGGCGTGTTTTCTATTTCTCATCAGAAGGTTGTAATTGCCTTTGTGTCCCCAGACGCCCTGGATCTGTAACCTTTCCCAGCGCAGAACCTGTGCCCCTGGGGGACCAAAAGCCACAGCTACATGTCTCTACCCAGTAGGTCTATCTCGTCCAGGAGGAAGTCCATGTCTTCCCGGCTCACTTGAGGGCTGATCACCACCTGGCGGAAGAAGTTGACCTTCCCCCGGTGGGGCTGATAGCCCAGCATCAGGCTTCCCTTCTTCATCATCCTCTCCTTAATGGCTGGGGCCACCTGCACGGGTGGAGAGGACGAGTGAAGGTGAAAGACCAGAACACCACGGCATTACGATTCATCTAACCCAGTCATCGGACATTTACTGGGTAGCCACTGGGTGGATCCCATTCCCATGTGCACAACAAGGTCCACATTAATAAGAATCCGTTGAGAACTTACAACATACGAGGACTGATTTAGTGCTTTAACTCTATGAATTCATTTGATCTTCATAATAACCCCATGAGGGAGACACTACTACTAATGTGCACATTTATAGATACGGAAACTGAGGTGCATAATTACATAAATAGCCTGAGGTCCCACATTCAGCAGATGGCAGGACCGAGCCCATACTCCGAAACCTACGTCATCATGCAATTCTGCCTCATTAAAATCAAATCAGGTGTCCTCAGGGGTCACAGTCTCAAAAGTGTCAAATGGTACATTCCCAAATTTGAACTAAAAAAAATTCCAGTTCAAGCATCTTGAATAAAAAAATAAATAAAATAGTCATAGATGAGGAAAAACCCCCCACAAAATAACAGCCTTGCATTGATAGTTTACCAAGAAAAACACTAATACAGGTAGTATGTGCAGGTCTATTTTGAAGACTAAGAGTTAATTAGTTTATTTATTAATAGGACATATGTGAAAAATAAACACTCTGTTATTAAGAGGTGTAAAGTTACAAATAAATTAGGAAGCTCATATTTTACAGATTTCTACCTAACATGAGAAGAATGAGCCCTGAAAATCCAAACACACAAATTTCTCTAAAAGTTTAATGTTTGAAGGAATTAGTCCAATTTAAGAACCACATGAGAAAATGAGCCCATTCTCAAATGAGCAGTGTGACCACCCAAGAACGAGCTTATAAACTTAAAATAGTGAAGTTAATTTTTGAAACACCAACTTAAAAACATTAAGAATGCATTCTTACTGGATTGGAAATGCAAGCAAAGGGTTTCCCCTCTTCATTTTATTTTAACCCTGTGAACATTTTTTAGCGTGTCCTATTGGATATGTGGGAAGGGAACATAATGAGTTTCTGCCTTCATTTTCTCAGAAAGATGAGACTTAGCTAATCGAGAAGGGAGGGATGCAAACATAAATAATACCAGGCACAATGGGCTTTAAAATTCCGTAGGTGACAGGTGTACATGTCAGTTCCCATGAGCCTCTCTCTGAGTGTGACCACCCCACACCTCTCCAGCTTTAAGCATACCTGTTTGTCAGATAATCCCCTGAAGACATCAAAACTGCTTCATTTGACACGCGACATCATCTTGATCTATTCAATGCTGATGGGAAAACTAAGGATTTTCGACCTTTGGATTTTAGACTAAGGATTTTAGGCCATGGAGCCTTCTCAAGGGATGTTCAAGGGTAATTTTAAATAAGTACATTATTCCTCATGTATTAATTTTAGAACATAAATCTTACAGAACATGGACTATACTATGCCTATGACAGCAAACACAAACACCTCTTAAGTACACTCATGTTGTCATTCTAACAAAAGATTGGAGCTCCCTTAGTCTAATGGGACCTAACAATATATATGAACATAAAAGAAAAAAAAAGTAAAAAAGATGAAGTCAGCCCTGGCCAGGTTGGTTCAGCAGTTAGAGCGTTGGTCCGCAGACCGGAGAAGCCCGGGTTAGGTTCTCCCTCTTGCTATATCTGAAGACAAATGCAAAAAAGTCCTTGGGTGAGGATAAAAAAAAAAGAAAAAGAAAAAGAAAAGAAAAGAAAGATGAAGTCAGAGAAAAAATGTGAACCATCATATTCTATAAATATCTAGAAATGTGTCACAAATTTTATTCTGAGCTTTTCAGAGATTAGAAAATCGGGGTTAAGTGAAGCACCTCCCATCTCTCTGCAAAACTGAGTGAGAAATGTTCAGTGGAAGCTGGAAGCGGACGCTAGTGGGAAGCACTGCAGTGGTCGGGCTCATCTGTCAGAAACCCTTGATTCTGAACGCTCCAAGCATCAACTGAGTTTTCTTCCAAAGCTCTTCATGCAAGTATCATTTGTTCTTAGAATTATAAAATCTAGTGCAATTATATGTAAGCAAATGAAAGGTTACTACAAAAAGAGAATGTCTTCCATGTAAACTAAGTTGAAACCCGGCCGGTGTGGCTCAGTGCATTGAGCATCCTCAGATGGACTGAGAGGTCCCTGTTCTGTTCCTGGTCCAGGCACATGCCCAGGTTGCAGGCTCAATCCCCAGTAGGGGGCGTGCAGGAGGCAGCCCATCAATAGTTCTCTCTCACATCAATGTGTCTATCTCTCTCTCCCTTCCTCTCTCTCTAAAAAAATCAATAAAAACATTAAAAAAAAAAACCTATTTGAAGTATTTGGGAAGACCAGGGGGACTGCTAAACACAGCTGCAAGTCGAGTGTGGTAAGAGCCCTGTAAAAGCTTTGAAACGCTACGGTGAGAGTCCGGACTGAGTCTGCAGCCAGATGGCTCCGGGGGCTGCGCACTCACACGGCCCAAGCGGGCTGCGCTGGGTGTCCGATCCCCAAGGCGGGGTCTGTGCAGAACAGTGCGGGCTCTCGTCACCAGACCTCCGCTCAGGGAAAGCCTCACTTGCTTTTGGAAAGCACTTGGAAGTCTTCAGAGTTGGGGGGAAAGCCCCTTTCCATCAGAAGGTGGAGAAATAAAGGCACAGCGGTGTGTTTTAAGTTAAACTGCCCGAGTGAGGTACGCATCACATGTTCTCCTAGGGCGCTTTGCTTTAACTGACCAGTCGTTATCCCCTTGGGTAGGAGGGTTTCGGATGTGGATGTGAATGGGTGCATGTGTGTGCACACAGGTGTGTATGCACATGAGTGTGGGCACAGCCACATGTAATTTAAACATCTAACCCATCAGTTGTCATTCACTGCTCTTAAAATCCTCGTTTTTGGTCACAGAGCAATGTAGAATTGTGGTGTGACTTAGGCCAATAACAGGCATATTTATTTATTTATTTATTTATTTATTTATTTATTTATTTATTTATTTCCTCACCCAAGGACATTTTTGCATTCATCTTCAGATAGAGTGAGGGGGGGGGGAGGGAGGAAGAGAGAGAGAGAAACATCGATGTAAGAGAGACACAAGACTGGCTGCCACCCACACGACGCCAACAGGGGCTGGGGACAAATTGCAACTGAGGTACATGCCCTTAGCAGGAACCGAACCCGGGTCTCTCTGGTCCGCAGGCCAATGCTCCAACCGCTGAGCCAAACCGGCCAGGGCGAGGCACATTTATTTTTAATTTCAAGAACAAAAGGCCTCTTGATGTAAAATGAAGAGAGGGGAGAAAAACAATGGTGACCAATACCAGGAAGAGCTGGTTCACCAGGGATGAATGTCTGGCCGGGAAAATCAGACACTATCAATTTTAGAGTTTACAGATCGTGGTTCTGTAGATTTTGGGGGAGGAGGGATTTCCTTCATATTCCTCTCCATCCTCCTCTACATATCCAGGCTATAACTGGCCCTGGCTTGTAGCCAATTTTAATTTTAAAACAGGCACGTTCTTGGCTCAATGCTAATTTGCATTGTCTATACTGTTTATTTTTCAGTACCTCTCTTCTTCCCCTCAAATGATATTTTATGCCTTACCTTTGGGGAGCATAGACTGTGATTCCAACTCATCAATGTGCCAGAGGCTCCCATGAGGCAATCGTCAAAATAAATGTTTGGATTGCATTTCTTGTAAGCAAACCAAAAATATTTTCTAATGTGAGCAAGAAAGGTTACAGCAAGATGGCCCCTCAATATTTCCACACAAAAGTATTTTTGATCTTTCAGTTCTTGCTCTTGGGAAAGGCATAAGAATATTCTTCCATGGCAAAACAATGGAGAAAGAACCAAACTTCTCAGCCAAATTTTGTCCCTGACTTTCAAAAATGATAAATAGATGACTCAATATCTACATGAGTTGGGGAACCAATTAAGTAAAGTTTTGACAATACCACAAATTTATGTATGGATGCACGAATATAAGATGAATTCCTAGAGGTAATTACTCCTAGGCAAGAGGCGAAGGCCTTCTTTGTCCGTGAATACTCCCTGGGGAAGACAGCACCAGCGACACCACGGCCGGTATTCATTGTCTCTGTCACAAATTATAATTGTAGCAGTAGTAGAGGTTGTTGTTAACAAATATCGTACCCGCTCCTTACAATCTGCAATCAGCCTTCACGCGTCTGATTTCCGGGAACTCAAACTAAAGCTTACTTGAAAGGAACTCATGTTTTTGCAATGTAGGGACCAAGAATATTCTCATTAACAGTCAGTTTATCACCTTCACACTTAAAACGATATCAACCCTTTCCTATTTATCAAGCTCCGGGCACCACTCAGTGCCGGGTAACTGGGATATTCTCTTTTGCTGATCACAGCCCAGAAATAGCCCTAATCCAACAGGATGGAATATTCACAGGGGAAGGAAAATATGCACAGACTAAATGTAAGTATCCAAAGAGAGTCCCTAAATGGAGCATGCATGGAGGAAAGCAATTTGGCAGGAATGAGATTGCTTTCCGGCTCTCAATTATTTTACTGCTGGTTTTCCTTCAAATTGTAAATCAAGTTCTTTTCTCATGCCTCAGTGCACTGGTCCCTGCATCTTAAGTGGAGGAAGATCTTGACATTTCTATCTGGTTGCACAGGAACTTAATTGACATGTTTCTGTAGGACTGCTGGTTTTTCCCCCTTAATAATGCTCCAGCAATGATTTAGTCATTTAAACAGAATTTTGTTGTCACACCCATGCAGCACAAAATAGCATTTGATATTTAAAAGTTGCTTAAACCCAAGGGAAAAAAGAATAATTAAAACATCCTCTCATTCTGGCCAAATATAGTAATTTGATGACAAGTAACTGACTAGGAACCATAATTTCTTTTTTTTTTTTTAATTAAGAAAAAAAAGTTTTAAATCCTCACCCAAGGATATTTTTCCCATTAATTTTTAGAGAGCTTGAAAGGGAGGGAGTGAAGGAAGGTGGGGGGAG